TTTGCACCTCAGCCAAGTCCTTTTAAGAATAAGGGCAAGAGTTTAATCCTTTGCTCGAAAACTAAATGCTGTTAATTCATCCCATTGCTAATCAGCTCCAGAATTGGTTGAAAGCTAAATTATTGCAGTATGGCATTTAAAAATATATATATATCTTACCACAAAATAAATATGTATTTGTTGCTCAAAATTCTTGTAACTAATTGGCAGATTTTCCCCAGAGATCGCAAACCAGAAAGATGTCTGGAACATAGTCTTAGATGAAATAGAACCAGCTGTTTTTAAGGGACTTCTTTTACAAGCTATATAAGATGATTATATTTCCTTTTTCTACTGTGCACATATTTCTTTTAAAACTGAACTACAATGGCTATTGAAATCAAGGTACCCAGTCCTCTGGGCAGATAGATATACCCATAAAGTCCGTTGAAAAGTTAGTGGTTCTATATTTTGATATCATGTGGATATTTATTCTTCAGTTAAAGCATTTATATTTGATATGTTAAAGTTAGTTAAATTATAAACTTTCCTTAATTTTATTTTTCATATTTGAGGATACATAGAAAACATTCAACTGCAAATAACAATATATTTACAAACTACCTATTGATTTGAATGGCTTATTTTAAGCTTTTATTTTGGCATGTCATTTTTCCTGATATTGTCCCCAAATTTTGGGTATGGAATCCTGTTTAGAGTCTGCATTGCATAAAGGCATTATTCACATTCTGCACATGAAAGTGGAGTAGAATTTTTGAATTTTAATTCAAAAAAATCTGTGGGTTTCTGCAGAGCTTGTTTCACTTATTACTATTTTTCTCAGTATTTACAAATGTATTTGTACTCATTTACTATGGCAACTGCACTACATTTGACATTGGGAAACAAGATGAACATGCCTATTTTCCCACAGTTACTTGTATATTATCAGATCTATAAAACTATGAAGTATATATAAGCACTTGGTCATTATTTGGAAGTGATATACAAGAACCAGCCTGAACAAGTACTGAAGGAAGAAAATAATTGCTAGAGCAAATAAGTGGCTCACACTCCAGTTATTTCTAATTCTGAAGCATAGTTATACTCTTAATTTCTTAATAGCATGAGGACTTTTCTATAAATCATTGATTGAGAAAGACGATCTAGGTTTGAAATGTGGCTAAAGCATTGGCAAATTACTTTTTCTGGTTTGTTTTTTTCTTAATTTTAAAACGGGGGATGGAATAGTGTCTCTCATGGGTTAATACTTTTACTACACTTAAAACAGTGTTGCGATAGTTAATTCTAGGTGCTGACTTGATTAAATTAAGGACTTCCTAGAAATCTGGTGAAGCAATCTTTTTGTGTATGTCAATGAGGGTGTTGCCAGAAGAGATTAGCATGTGGGCCTGAGTGGACGGGGTGGAAAAATCCCCTCTTAATATATGCACGCATCATCCAATCTGCGGGGGACCCAGACAGAACAAAAACGGAGGAAAAGGTAGATGGCTGTCTCTATTGACTGGAGCTGGTATACATTTTGCTCTCTTGTCTGTGGACATCAGAACTCCAGACATTTTTGGGTTTGGGGTTCCAGGACTTACACTATCCTCTTCCCTGGTCTGAGTCTTTCAGACTTGGGCTGAGTCTTGCTACCGACATCCAGTTTACAGATATCCTATCGTGGGACTGCTCAGCCTTCACAATCGCGTGAGCCAATTCCCCTAATAAATCCTCTCTCATATATTTATAAACTTTTCCTATTGGTTCTGTCTCTCTGGAGAACCTGACAAATACAAATATCTTGCATATAGGAATCATTCAACGTATGTGAACTAATAATACTGACATCAATACTAATAGTATTAAAAGCAGTAATAATATTGCCCCACTTAGGAGTGTACGTGAAAGACAATAGGGAAGAGAGAATTCCTGCCACTGGGAAGAATTTGGAGCATTGTATCTCATTGTTTACTTTTTCTGGAAGGTGAATGGTCTAAGATATTGAGTGTCTTTTAAAATGTTCTCATAAAAAATACACATTGAAAGCTGGTCAACTAAAGTGTCTCAGAAATCTTTAAATACAATTTAAATTATATTGACTGATATAAATTACTGTGAAATTTGTAAATACACAAATAAAGTTTTACTAATTCTTAGAAACTGGTAACTTGATGAAATGTTTTTTTTGATAACTAACTTGTGGAAATTTGTCCTGTCTACCTATATTTTCTCCTTTGATATTTCATGTATATATTTGTCTATTTAAACTCATCCCCTTCTGCCCACCCTGTCTCTTAGCATTTTTTACGTGGCATGTTGGTGACATAAAACTTTTTCCAAGTTGCAGAATGCATAGATGGCCTCACAACAGAGCTACAAGAGAAATGGATTCTGGACTAGGAGCTGTTTGCTGTAACTGAAAAGACTTTGTGTCCTATCTCTTTAGAGAGAATGAGTTTATATTGAGCTTATGGCTGTGACTTGTATTATGTTAGGTGAAGAAGTTATTATCATCATCATGAAGAACTAATATGTGGAGAAGTTATTAAATATATATGATATAGCCACGTACTAGCTACAGTAGATATAATAGATCCAGAAAAAATCCAGTGATTCAAGGGTCATATTTAAAGATATTAAGTGAAAACACATATGTGTTCATGGGAAGAAATATCGAATATCATAAATATGTCAATTCTTGTAAAATTGGTATAGTTTTCCAAGGTAACTCTAATCAAAATTTTAACAGGGTATATTTGAATCTTGGAAATTAATTCTAACATTTGTTTGAAGATCAAAGTGGCAAAATATACAAGAAACTCCTGATTAGGTAGAACATGGATTTAGTGATTTAATAAAAAAGATTCATATAACATTAATGTTGGGTAGTTTTCATAGAGATGGACATATTTACTGACTTCAGATAGAAAGCCAAGGATCGCATCTAACTTAGATTAGTGAGGAAAAGATAGGCTTGTTGAAAACTTGTCATTGAGTGCAGTTGGTTATCTCCAAGGGAGAAAAAGATCCTTAAATGTAAAAGGAAAACCACCAAGATCTTAGAAGGTAAGATAGGAAAACATGATTCTGCTGTAGGGAAAGATTTCTTAAAGAAGAAACAAAAGTACTAACCATGAAGAAAAGAGTGTTACATCACATTTCATTAGAGGAAACATTTTCTTTTCAAACTGCTTTACAGCATCACACTTTCTCTGTTCTTTCTTAATTTGGGAAGAAGAAAATATTAGTGAATATCGGTTTAAAACAAGGAAGGAGTTGAAAAGTCTAATTCTACTGAAATCTGACCACGCTAGGCCAATCATCAGTGTTTCTTCCCTGCTAAATGTATGGATTATACTTTTTCCTGTGTTCTCTGGGCTTCTCAGAGTAGCCACTAGAACCGTGGACATTCTCGACAGCTGCTAGAGCAGGACAGCCCCTGCAAGTGAAGGGAAGATGAGCTGAGTGTTTGTTTTCAGCAGTTGGTTGTTCCCTAACATTCTCTCAGTTATTTACCATAGTAAATAAGACCAGATCAGGAATGTAAAGAAAGATCAGTGACATTGATTAACCTGTCACCACATGTTTTTCAGAAAGAGAACTTTCTGTCATAATGAATATGATATCAGCTAGCCTGAGAAAACCATAAATGCAGAAAATAATCCATCTGCAACTTGCACAAAATGTACCTGCATTTGCTAGATCTGCATATTTGTTCAAATATGTAATAACTGGAGAGCCATAAGTATGGTTATACCTATTTCCATTATGGGTGTGTGACAACTACCATGGAAACAAGAATAAGAGTAAAACATGGAAATCAATAAATCAGCCCATAAAAAGAAGCACTGAATTTGTTGTTTTTCTTTGAGCCTAAGGCAGGAATTCCAGCCATACTTTGCCCTCTGAGGAGTCATGTGTTCCCTTTTGTTTTTCTGCCCTAATCTTGACCACTTTCCAGCTTTAGCAAATGTTGGGAAAGTATAACTCCTTGGCAAAAGTCATCTTCCTAATGAGAAAGTCATCTAATGGTTAACATACTATACATGGCCCTACATATGTTTAAGGATAAAAAATGTTGCCTCTCCCTACACACAGAAAGTAATACTGATAGAGGGCCTCAGCATGTGTAGAAAAGGAGTTGGGAAAAAT